GCTGAGCCAGATAAGGGCAGGTTATCTGACAAACAGACTTAAGGTCGATTCATTGTTCACGACTTTGAACAAATAAAATAAGTAAGTCTGAAGATTTCTGTCTTCTGGGCTGTAGAAGTTTACTGACGTTTCGGATGTCCTTGCTGCCTCCATCATCAGGGCGACGACCATAAACTTCTACCAGACACAGCCAGCCGCGAAAACCTCAGATGAAAACTAATCATTAACTTTGTAAAAATGCAGAAGTAACTTTTCCTGTCATTAAGAGTGCCTGCCCCCTTCTGTAAATGTCACAGTAAACTGAGGCACGAATCGTACCTCCTGGGGATGTCGTAACACGTCTTACGAGGCACAACAGCGACTTCGGGCTTTTTTTAAACTCTCGCCGTCACCAATAACAACGTAGGACATCGCCCTTAAACGTGTTATTCTGTTAAATCAGGCATCAGCTAGGACCAAGGAGATCGCGTGTGGAAATTCCTCCTTCTCACGACTTTCTGTTGACGACAGGTCCAGCTGTAGACACGTGGCACGTCAGAGGACAATGTCGATCCTGGCCCGACCCAGAAGACGGTCGCACACGGCCGGAGATGCGATGATGTCGGGTAGCCCGCCGAATCCTCCTCCGTTGGTGCGCCAGAACAGTGCGAATGTGACGGCGACCGACAGCAACCCGCCACGCATCGCCGCCAAGGTCAAGAAACCGGAAACTGCGCTCGTCAACAGGTACGCATTCCTTGTTTCCAGGTCGCCGAGTTGACGGCGTTCACTGCGAGGAACATCATTTCGACCGAAGAACTTCTCACGAAATTGTCTTCAGCGGAAGGCCTTCTTCTCGTAGGCCATCGTTGTGATCCGAAGGTCACCGATAAAATTCGTTTCTCAAGACTTCCGACGATTGCCGAGTTCTTGCACTTTGCCCATCGTCTGAATCGACGTTTCAAAGACCGAATCCGCTTCCTTCCTCAAGTGCAAGGAAGCCGCGGGAGGCACCTATTCTGTCCAGTCCGTTACAAATTCTAAAACCAAGTAATCCAGAGGCCATTGTTCCTCAGATAATTCTTGCACTGCAATCTCAGTTAATTGTTGTACCTTAGGCCAGTCTTGCAACAATCGTATAGGTAGCCAGGGTTACCATTATTGCGCAACAATAGACACCAGTCGTATGGATTCCCTATCCCGTATGAGAAATGTGACACAGACAGACAGACAGACCAATGACGACACGGCTTAATGTTATCCTCCCATCTCTTTCTTGGTCTTCCACTGAGACATTACTCAAGGCGATTTCCCTAAAGGCAAGCATTTCTTTTACCATCAGAATCTAGGACGCAACAAATGATTTAGTGTTTAACCTACACATTGTAGAATGAACGTCTATGCTGTACTCTTTCACAAAACATGCAGATGATATTATTATTCCCACTTTTAAGACGGCAACTGAAACGTCTGCCGAAACGTCGGTCAACTTCAAATCTTCCACGCAGCTCTCACCCAAAATTCACTCACAATAGCACAATGTATTTGAAACAGTCCGCGTGCGCACCGAGGCTCGTTTGTTTTCCGAAACTGAGGCCCAATCCGTCGTGTTCGGAATGGCGCTGATGTCTCTTTGATCTGACTGTGATCGTCCGTGGTCAAGGTTGGCACCCCTGCTGAGTAGCTATTTTGGAGGCCCCGGATTAAAATCTCGGCCCAGAGACCGCTGTCCCAGTTCCTTTGCCGCCTTCCCCATCTATAATTCTGTTATTCAGCGGCTTTAAGCTCACTGCAAATACATTAATAACAAACCAGTCTTTTGTTTCTAGTGGCAAATCGGAATGATCTTTATACCAAGTGTCACGTCACTGTTAGAAAACACAGCTGCAAAGTTGAGAGCCGATTACATTGTTGGAATCTCACAACGAAGTCTTCGGATCACATACTCGCAACAATGGCCCTGGATAGGCCACCATTGTTTCATTTTGATATTCGTTTCGAGTAAGAGTGCTCTATGTCCACAGTTTCGACCACGAACTCTTTTCCTACTGACATTAACAGGGTTTCTTACCTCTGACTTGTGCCAACTGTCTGCAGGATGTCAATGGGCGTGGTGGAAGATCTTCTGGAGTGCAGAATTTGCAACCAGCGACTTCGATGCCCCAAGATGCTGTCCTGCCAACACACTTTCTGCCTGTCCTGTCTCCAGGAACTCGTTCTTCCAACAAGCAACGGTAAGCGGTTGAAGTTCGCCTTCCATCAACAATGACATTAGATTTTTCTCAGGCGATCTCAAGCTTTTTGAAGTCGCAACGTCGATCCGGCTTTTGAGTGGTGTTGAAGTTCGCGGTATTCCCCGACGTTTCGGAGATCCTTACCGTATCCATTTTCAAGGCTGACATCTCACTTCCACACTCGTATATAAACGTGAGGCTTGATCTGGAGGATTACGAGACATCGAAAATGTAAACTGGGGAACATTTTGACAAGAATGAGACATGAAAAATGCGTACAAAATTCAGGTAGGGAAGTCTGAAAACAGATCAAGGCGGATCTTCGTCGAAAATGGTGTCAATTTGGCTCATCTAGTAATGACCGTAATAAACTAATGAGTCTTATAAAATGTCGTCGAGTAACTGAGCCCGCGTTTCTAATTCCAGCCGTTCAATGTCCGAACTGTGGCCTGAACGCGAATCTGCAAGCGACTGGTCCTCAGGGAATCGCGTATCTGCCAT